CGGCAATGTGGCGACACTGTCGGACGCGACTCGAGAAAGGGTTGGGTCGAAAATGTAGGCCGAACGTGACGAGTCGAAGTGTTCGGGTGTACGCGGTAGCGGTCGACTCAGTAAGGAATGGAAATTCCTTACACTACCCCCCCCCTCCTAAACAAGTCCGTGAGCACCGGAAACATTCCGACGCTGATAATACGCCGTTAGAATCGGATGTGATTCAAGGTCAGCGAGAGGCACCCAGCTGACGTCTTCGGACGTGTGATCGCGCCAGCGGACGAGGAAGTCAACCATCCGTCGATTCAGCTGCGTTGTGACGCGATGGCCCAGAATTTTTAAGGGCTTGGTGGTTGGTTCTTGCAGGGGCGTCAGCTGCGGGACTCCGCGTTGGCGTGCCACGTCAGACGAACTGGGGACGTAAGGTCGTAAGAGGCTGATGTGGAAGGCCGGGTGGTGGCGCCAATCAGCCGGGAGCCGAAGGTGAACAGTGACAGGTGTCACCAGGTTCGTCACTTGAAAAGGTCCGCAGAATCTGGGCCGGAGCTTGCTCGGTATCGGCAATCGCAAATTGCGAGTGTCGAGGAGGACGAGATCGCCCACGTTGTAAGTGACGTCACGGCGATGACGATCGGCTTGTCGGCTTGCGACCAGGTTGGCTTTCCGAATTGCGTCAGCTGCTTTTTCCCGAGCGGCGAGGATGTCTTTAGCAAATTTTTGGGACCGAGGCACAGGTGACTCGATGTTCGGGGTCGAGGGTACCACTGGGTCCTGTCCGTAGTTGAGGAAAAATGGGGACTGATGGGTGGTGGCGGAGGTCGCGTTATTATACGCGAATTCTAGCTGCGGAATGGATTTCTCCCATGTCTATGGGTCAGTACAGGTAGTCCGAATGAGCTGTTCCATAGTTTGGTTGACTCGTTCGGTCTGCCCGTCGGTCTGTGGGTGGTAGGCGGAGGAAAACTGTAGTTTGGTGCCAAACTGCTCCCATAGGTGGCGCCAAAAATTCGACGTGAATTTCGAGTCTCGGTCTGAAATGATGGCGGAGGGCAGTCCGTGCAGTCGGATGACGTTCGTGAGGAACAGCTGCGCGGTTTGTTCGACTGTGATTGTTTGTTGGCAGGCAATGAAGTGCGCCATTTTCGTAAGTCGGTCAACGACCACGAGGATGGTGTTGTTTCCGCTGGGACCGGCCGGCAGTCCTGTCACATAGTCCATCGTGACTTGTTGCCAAAGTCGCTCGGGCGGATCTAACGGCTGTAGTAGTCCGGCTGCTCGCTGATGCGACGATTTCATAATCTGGCAGGCAGTGCATGAGGACATGTACTTGCGCACGTCATCGGCCATGTTTTGGCCAGTAATAATTCCGCTGCAGCATCTTCGTGGTTTTATCGACGCCGAAATGTCCTGAGGTAGGGTTGTCGTGGGATTCCTGGATTAGAAGGGTACGTAGTAGATCGTAGCCGGGTACCCATATGCGAGAAGTACCGCGCTTATGAAAATATGGTCCACTGGCGGTGGTATGCTGTTGATGGATAGCAGAGCGGAAGAAGGGATCGGTCTTGTAGCCGTGGTTGAATAATCCGGTAAGTAATGGGTTGGTCTGGGAGACTAGTATGGGCAGTAGGGCGAGTAAGGGCATCGGCAATATTATTGGCACCCCGTTTGTAGGTGATGGTATAATGGAAATTTGACTCGAGGAAATCGAGCCATCGGATTTGTCGGGGGTTGAGATTCGGTTGGGCGCGTAGGTACTGTAAGGATTTGTGGTCAGTCCGCACCGTGACGTCAGCGCCTGTCAGGTAGCACCGCCAGGTTTTGAACGTGTGGACGATCGCCAGCATTTCCTTGTCGTGGACAGTATAGTTTTTTTCCGCGCCCTGCAGCTTCCTTGATTCGTAGGCAATTGGCTGTAACCCGTCGCCGAAATCCTGTAGAAGAACTGCGCCGATGGCGATGTCGCTTGCGTCGGTGACGACTTCGTATGGACGGTTAGGATCGGAGATGCGAAGTGCGGGCGGCGTAATGAGGGCGATTTTGAGTTGGTGGAATGCAGCTTGCTGATTTTCTCCCCACCAAAAACAATCGTGATCTTTCAGTCGGTCGGTTAGCGGGGCAGATAACCCAGCCATATTTGGGATAAAACGGCGGACGTAGTTGACGAAGCCCAGAAAACTCTGCAGTTCCTTGATGTTGGTCGGCAGCTTCCACTCCTGTATGGTCTTGATTTTTTTGGGGTCGATTTTCACTCCTTCGGTAGATACGACGTGGCCCAAAAACTCCAACTCTTGCTGAAGAAAGTCACACTTAGATCCTTTCGTGATGAGTCGATTCTTGTGCAGCAGCATGAAGACTGCATCAAGATCCTTTAAGTGCTGCTCCCTGCTGCGGCTGTAGATTAGAATGTCGTCGAGGTAGATAATCACGCATTTATCCAGGACTTCCCAGAAAACGCGGTTCATGGACATCTGAAAGGTTGAAGGCGTGTTTGTGAGGCCGAATGGCATCACCAGGTATTCGTAACTGCCATAGCGGGTTCGGAATGCGGTTTTGTGGCAATCTTCGGCGGCGACGCGAATTTGATGGTAACCCCCTCGAAGGTCGATTTTCGAGAAGAACTTGGCTCCGCGAAGTTGGTCTAGTAGATTGTCGGCTCGCGGGATCGGGTAACGGGACTTGATGGTGATGCGGTTGAGCGCGCGGTAGTCGATGCACATGCGGAATCCTCCATATTTTTTCTGTGTGAACAGGATCGGGGCGGCGTATGGGGACGTGCTGGGCCGGATAAAACCCTTCGTCAGAAGGTAATCAAGCTGTTGCTGCAATTCTTCGAGTTCCGGTTGGCTGAGCCGAAATTGTCGCTGTACTGTTGGTTGTGCGCCTGGTTCCAGCTCGATGCGGTGGTCTTCAGGTCGTCTTGGCGGGAGTCCGGCGGGTAGGTCGTCCGGGAAAATCTCGGGGTATTTTCGAATCAAGTCCGCTAAATCCGGAGGAACTGCTTCACACAAGTTCGCGGTATCTTCGGCAGTGGTCGGCGACGTAACCTCGCGAAGATCAACGGCGTACGCTACAGCTCCCGCTTTTATCGCACGTTTGAAAGTGATCGCGTGGACTTGAGTACTTCGCATGCGGGGTCCCGTCCATTTCGGTAACTCGCGATAGATTCCATCGAGTTTTATATTTCCAGATCATAACAAACATTTGATTTGTATTTCCATATGACAAGAACAAATGATGATGTTTCACATATTTACCTGAAAATTGAGGCACTGCGTGAGAATGAATTTCTGACGAGGCAACTTCCGAGTAGGACACATTTTTATCCCGTCTTGTCGAAAATCCAACCCGAGAGCGTACAAATCAAACTCGACTTTCAAACGACTGAGCTAAACTACTTGTTGTATTTGACTGTTTGTATTAAACCAAATGGTAATTTTGCAACGAAGGTCCAACAACTTTAGCAACTCGCTTCCCCTTTTCCACTTGCCTAACATTCTCCTCAGTAGAGCTACCTCTCATAGCATATGTACGTAATTCACAGCGTCCTAGGCTTTCAAGTCACTTAAGGGTTGCATTTAATTTCCTCATATTTCATATTTTCTTTTCGCGACCTCGATAGTTCTAGGTGGAGATATTGGGCTGCAGCCCATTTCGACCTTCTTCTATGTCGTATTACTGGGCTGCAGCCCGACCTCGATCTAGGTCGTTATTAGGGGGTTGCAGCCCATTTCAGCCTAGTTCTAGGTCGATCTACAGGGCTGCAACCCATATCGACTTCGTTCTAGGTCGATTTTAGGGATTGCGACCTTTTTCGACCTAGATCTAGGTCAATTTATGGGGCTGCAGCCCATTTCGACCTAGATCTAGGTCGATTCATTGAGCTGCAACCCATTTTGACTTCCGTTTCGCCGTTTTTTCTGCAACCCTTTCTTCTTACTTTTTTGTATCATTCTCTAATTTGTGTTCACCGTCTGTTTCTTGCTCTACTTCTTGCCTTGTTTCCTGATCCCCGCTAATTCCCTTAGTATTCTTGTATACTTGATACAGGATTCGAAGCACTCGTGAAAGCTGAAAAGTGGCTTCGTTATGGGCGTCAGCTAAACACAGTTTCTATTCCAAGTTGTCTGAATCGCATTGTTGCTTGTCAAAAAAAAAAAAAAATGCTTGTTGATGATTTTCTTGCTATCATAAAATGTATTATCTCACGCTCTACATAATAGGCTTTCGACTTCCCCCACTTAGTTGGGGAAGCGATAGCCTATTTTTTTCAATGACAAAAATACGCCACTGGAAATAATGGGAAACAACGACAAATATTTTAGATTAAAATCAATTAGGAAAACTAAAAGTTATTGGGAAATTCATTTTTTTAAGATTTGGTAGTTTTTTCCAAATCACAATTTTGAAAAAAATCCTTACGATCGATCGCAATAAGTTGCTCCGCAACCCAAAAATTGGCAAATTATATCGTAATAGGTTGCTCCGCAACCCAAAAGAAAAATCTCTAGGTCATATTTTATTGTGCAAAGGTTTTCCTTCCAAAATTTTGAGTGGAAAAAAAAAATTCGGCAAATTCGATCGTATTAGGTTGCTCCGCAAGCCAAAAACCAGTGTCGGAGCCCAGCACTGGGCTCATGGCCAGTAGTGAGCGCCAAATTCCAAGCTGCTCGTCTGATTGGCCAGCGCCTCTGGCAACACCTAGCCTGTCAGCATGCTGCTTGGCTGGCTGGAGGTTTCGAACCGCGATGGCGCGCTTTTTCGCGGTTCGAAATGTGCGCCACATTTCCGACATTCGCAAGTCAGAACGAATCTGGGACTGGGAGCAACTGTAATGCTTGCAGAACAGGGAAGGAACTCACTGAGTCCCACTGCGGTGCTGAATCCTCATGCACAACCACGACCAAAAGCGACCACTCCTCTCTATTCCGTCAAGCCCTGCAGCTTCGGCTGCGTCTGCAGCAGCTCCTGTCTCCATTGCAGTCTACCAGCTTCCAGCTTACCGCGCAAAAACAGCTTTACAGTTCTGGTCAAATACACTCACTATTCTCCTCCCTGATAGTCTTCAATTCTCCTCCCTCCCTCCAAGACTCCGCAGATGCTAGACTCGAACGCAGCACTAGTCGCAGCAAGCGTCGGGCTCTTCAGCGCAACATTCTCCTTTGCTCACATTTCCCTCCATTTCCTTGCTTTCGTGACCAATCCCTTCCTATCCTTACATTCCACCTCTCTTCCCTTACCTCGGCGTGGATTCGTTGCATAGAACTCTAATAGCATTTCCCGTGAAATAACAGTCGTGTTTATAGACATCTTAAAACACGACTCAAAGTATTCCCCTCCAACGAGTGCTGGTCCCTCGATGAGAGGGCCACACGTTAGCTCCTCCTTCCCCCGCGCATCGCGGGGGGGCCTACGTCAAGCATCATCGACTCTCGCCGGCTGCTCCAGATCGCCACGACTGCAGATCCGTTCTCGCAACCTCTATGCTCGATCGGCTTCCTTCCTCGTCGCTGTCCTTTCCCTCCTTGTCGCCCTCGTCCCTGCGACGACGGGCGAGTCTGCATCGTCGCATCAAGTGACGGAATCGAGCGATTCTCCCGGTACTTTTCCCGATCACGATCACGATCGGTTCAACGGTCACGATCGCAGCCCGGACTGGGCTTCTTTATCTTCTGTGGAATCGTTCCATTCGTTACAATGGCGAGCGCTTCAAGAACTCTACCCGACCGCTTTCGACGATCCGTACGACTATGCAGACTTTCCCACGACCGGCGGGCCCGTGGGATACGACCCGGTGCCGTTGCTCCCAACGGCCGTGACGGTTACGGATAACAGCTCCCAGAGCAGCAGCCGGGGGAACGCGCTCATCCCTCTCGCCATGCACGGCGGTAGAATCCCGTATCCTACGGGGGAGGTCACCACCCCTCCTTATTTCGGCGAGGATGGTGATAGAGTGGAGGGAGTCGAATGGTGGCGGGGAAACGCGGGCGGCGATAACTCCTCCGCCGCCGCATCGCCGCCGGGTTCCGCGCCGTCTAATCCGGCGCTCTTCCCGCAGCTGCCGGGCGCGGATGCGGAAAACAGCAGCAGTCCGGAGCAGCAGCCGCCGCCATGGTGGATGGGCGGAAACGGTCAAGGGGGGACCCCGGGCGGGGGGGTAGCGGGTGGCGGAGCGCAAAACGGGGATGGGGGCGGGGGGAGCGGGGGTGATGGTGGCTCGAGCGTCGGCAGTGCCAACAGCAGCAGCGGCAGCACCGGCGGCGGCGGCGGCAGCAACGGCGCGTTCAGCATTAATGGGCTGTCGAAAGGCGCGTCGATCGCCGTCGTTGGGGGATTCTGCTTTTGCGGGCTGCTGCTGATCGCCGCACTGGCAGTCCTCGTCCATATGTACTTTAAGAGTCGCACTCACGCCGCCGCCGCCGCCGCTGCCGCTGCGAAAAAGCTGGAGTGCCAAGACGGCGACGGCGACGAGGAGAATGGAAACGTGGCGGCGCTGGTAGGCGCGGCGGGTGCGGGGGCTATGGTGGGTCTCGGCTGCTATGGCGCGAAGGGAAAGAGAGACAGCGCGGAGAAGCATAAGGAGCGGGCGGAGCGGGAGGGACGATCGCCCGAGCGCTGGGGCTGGTTCGCCTCTGCCCCATCGTGGGTCGCCGCGTTCCTTCCCCGCGGGCGGATTGCCGCCTCCCCCTCTTCCCCCTCCGCGTCTAGCAAAACGCTCAAAGGCGGCGTGCGCGTGTGCTCGCCGCGTGCCAGCGTGAGCCAGGCGGGGGCCGACCGATCCGACGTGGCATGGCAGGCGGTGCCGAACCTCGACCCGCAGCTCGGCGCGGTGTGGGAGGATCCCGAGGGACCGGCCGTGGGCGGCGGCGCCGGGGATGCGTGGCGCGGGAGAGTGGAGGTGGTAGAAGTGGTGGAGATAGAGGATATTCTAGAAGGCGAAGAGGCGGAGGACAGAGAGGAGAGTGAGGGCAGGGAAGAGAGGGATGGCAGGGAGGAAGGTGAGGGAGCGGAAGAGCCGTGTTTCCTCATGTCTCCATGCGACACCCCCCACCTCTCCCTCTTTCATGCGGCCTCGCCGCATTCTGCTGAGTCACACGCCGCTGCCCCTGCCACACCGGCTGCTGCGGCTGCTGCAGCAGCTGCTGCTGCTGCTGCTTCAAGCGGTGGTCGCAAGGCCGGCACCGGCACTGGGAGGTTCGGCCTCGGCTTCGGATCACTCTTACTCTCAGCGGGGAAGGCGGCACAGAAGCCGGCGGGAGCGGGGGAAGGGCGCGCAGAGCTGGGTGCGGATGCGCAGCAGCCGGCGGCGGAAGCAGCGGGAAGCGGCGGGTGGATGGGGGGCGCGCAAGCAGCGGTTGTGGGAGCCGTTGCGGCGGCGTGGGCGTCTGTGGGCCGGCTGCCGTTGCCGACCAGCCGCGTGGCTGACGCTGGGGGTAGCGGTGGAAGGGGGGACGGAGGAGGAGGAGGGGGAGGAAGAGGGGGAGGAGTTGGGGGTGAGAGCGAGATGGGCGTGGTAAGAGGGGAGGAGATGGGTGGGGAGGATGGCGCGTGGAGGGAGGAAGTGGAGCGGTTAACAGCGATGGAAGAGGGGACGGATGACGCAGGGACGGGCGAGGAAGGGACGGATGGAGGAATGAAGGAAGGGGAGATCAGTGTACCACCTGCTGCTGCTGCTGCTGGTGCTGCTGGTGCTGCTGGTGCTGCTGGCGCTGCTGCTGCTGCTGGTGCTGCTGCTGCTGCTGCTGGTGCTGCTGCTGCTGCTGGTGCTGCTGCTGCTGGTGCTGGTGCTGGTGCTGCTGCTGCTGGTGCTGCTGCTGCTGCTGGTGCTGCTGCTGCTGGTGCTGGTGCTGCTGCTGCTGGTGCTGGTGCTGCTGCTGCTGGTGCTGGTGCTGGTGCTGCTGGTGCTGGTGCTGGTGCTGCTGGTGCTGGTGCTGCTGGTGCTGGTGCTGCTGGTGCTGGTGCTGGTGCTGCTGGTGCTGGTGCTGGTGCTGCTGGTGCTGGTGGTGTCCTCAGTGGCTTAACCCTTGGTTTGGTGTCCAAGGAAAGCAAGAGGGGGAAGGCAGAGGGAACGGCGCGAGGATGGCTGAAGGGCGGAGGCGGGCAAGCGAGAGACGAGAGAGAGAAGGGAGAGGGGGGAGAGGTGACAGAGACGAGGCAGACGAGAGAGGCGAGAGCGGAAAGCAGTGGTGGTGGTGGCATGATGCATTCGACAGGTGGGTGGCCTGGCTTCGGCTCGTGGTGGCGAGGACGGGGAGAGAAGGGGAGGGATGAGGAGCAGCAAGAGAGCGGTAGGCGTGAGAGGGGGAACGAGGGAACGAGTGCGGAGAGGGAGGACAAGAGCTGCGTGGGAGGGGGGTCAAGGTGCGAGGCGAGAGAGGGGTTGAATGAGGAAGAGGCGAGGAGCGAGTGTTATAACGAGGATGAGGAGGAGCGGCAGGGAGGGGGAGGTGGGGCGACTTGTAACGCAGAGAGAGACGCTGCCACGCGCGACACTGCAACTGCGACAGGAGAGATGAGCCAACAGGTTACCACGGCGCTGGCGAAATGGACGGGCGTTGGCGAAATGAGCCTCAAGGAGGTGCTGGCGATCACAGACAACTTCGCCCAGGCTCGTATTCTCCACGAGAGGCGCTCAGTCGTCGTCTACCGAGCCTGCTGCCCAGCCTCGGGGCAGGTCTGGGCTGTGAAGCGCGCCAAGCTCTCCCTCCTCTCCCCCTCCCCAACCTCCCCTGGAGGCTCGGGCAGTGGACCACTAACAGAGGGGGGAGAGGAGGGGGAGGGGGAGGAGGTGGGAGAGCGAGAGGGGGCAGGGCAGAAAGCAGCACACGCGCTGGCAGCAGCAGCAGCAGCAGGAGTAGGAGGGGCAGGAGGAGGAGGAAGGGGAGGAGGAGGAGGAAAAGCATTGCCAGCAGCATTGGCAGCGTCGCCTGAGGCAGTGGTGTCGATGACTGCTGGTGCGTTTGCCGAAGCGGCTATGGCGCTGGGTGGCTTGGCGCACCCGCGGCTGGCGCGGGTAGTGGCGTTCTGCAGGGAATGCGCGGAGAGGATCCTGGTGCTGGAGATGGTCCAGGGGGAGCCGCTTTCCCTTGCGCTCCATGCCGCTCCTCCTCCTCTTCCTCCTGCTGCTGCTGCTGTGACAACCGGAAGGGCAGCCTTGACTGGCGCGGCTGCTGCTGCGCTGCTCTCCCTCCCCCAGCGCCTGCAGGTGGCTGCGGACGTGGCGAGCGCGCTCAAGGCCCTGCACGCGTACCTGCAGGTGCACGAGCCCCCCCCGCGCAAGGAGCGCCTCTACTCGCACCTGCTAACGCCCCCCCCCCGCGCGCACGGCGCTGTGACTGCAGAGAACGTGATTGTGGACGCGGAGGGCAGGGGGAGGCTGATAGGGGGCGCGCACCTGCGCTCTCTGCTGGTGCAGCAGGTGGGGAGGGGCGCGTGCGCGGTGGGGGGAGGAGGATTCTGGGGGAGTCCGCGGTTGGAGGTCGGGGAGGCGGAGGAAGAGGAGCAGGAGGTGCCGAGGCAGCAGCAGCAGCAGCAGGCGGGTGAGCGTGAGGAGGCGGTGTTTGAGACGTCAAGCAACAGAGCAGCGTACGTGGATACGTGGCAGGCGAGCCCGTGCCTGTCGCCGTGTGTGGAGGCGCTAGTACCAGCCACGGCAGCGGGGGATGTGTTCAGCGTGGGAGTGCTGCTGCTGGAGCTCGTCACGGGCAGGCGACCCGTGGTGCGGGCCCACAGGGACCTGCAGCTAGCCGCTGCTGCTGCTGCTGCTGCTGGCAATGGTGCTGGTGTTACTCCTGCTGCTGCTGCTCCTTCTCCTGATGCAAGAGCATCAGCTGCGGCGCCAGCGGCGGCTACAGCGGGCACGGGGAGCAGAGGACGCGGAGAAGGGGCCAGTGGGAATGACGCTGCCGTGTCGGGGCGGACGGGCCTTGGAGGAGGGGGAGCAGGGGGGGCCAGGGGGGCAGGGGGGAGGTGCGCACCACTACAAGAGGCGATTGAGGAGGGGCGTGAGTCAGAGAGTGAGGAGGAAAGCGAGGAGGAGGAGAGTGGGGAGGAGGAGAGTGAGAGTGAGGAGGAGGAGACAGCAAGCAAGCAATCCCTCTGGTCCCTTCCCTTTGACAAATCACCCATCGCCATCCCTCTCTCTCCCACTCACCAACCCATCCCCATGCCCACGCACCTCCCCCCTCCCGCGCCCTCCTCCCCATCCCTCCGCCATTCCTCCCCCTCATCGCCCCCCCAGCACCACCGCCACACGCCCCTCCATATAGTCACATGGGTGCAGTCGCTGCTGAAGGGCGGAGATTTCCGGGTGATTGTAGACCCGAGACTGGGTCTGTGGCCCGAACCGGAGATAAGCAGCAGTGGCAGGGTGGTGTGTGGTGAAACGGTTGAGCTGCTTCAAGAGATGTCAGGGTCAAAGAAATGTGCAGGTGGAAGCAGCAGCAGTAAAGCTAGGCAGAGAACGAAGCCTCAGGAGGAGCAGGGAGCAGCAGGGATGGCGGGAGCAGCAGCAGGGCTGGTGGGCGAGGCGGTGGAAGAGGCGTACGTGGCAGCAGTGATAGGCGTGGTAGATCTGGCGCTGCGCTGTGTGCTGCCGGCGCCCCCCCTGCGGCCGTCCATGGCACAGGTGGCTACGGCGCTGGAGCTGCTGCGCTTGGACCTGCAGGGCGAGCTCGAGGCCCTGGGCGCTGCTGGCGGTGGTGCTGGTGACACAGCAGGGATGGCGCAGAAGCTCGGACAGAGAGTGGGTCTGGGTGGTGCTGGTGGTGGTGGTTGTGGGAGGGAGTGTGGTGTGAGCGATGAGGTGACTTCTGAGCTGTCGTTCAAGGAGCGCAGCCCAAGGGTGAATGGCACAGTAACAACTCATGATGACGAGTATGCTGCATTGCCTGCTGCTGTGATGATGCCACGGCTGCAACTGGATGAAGAGGAGGAGGATGAGGGCGGGGAGGAGGAGGAGGAGGGGGCTGCAGACGACGAGTTGAATGGAAATGGGAGTGATTCTCATGAGTGTTGTGACGACAGGCACAGCCTGAGTGCAGCTACTGCTTCGGCCACGCTGGCTGCTGTGAGCGAGACCATGAGCGGGGGGAACAGCAACGGGGCTGGGGCTGCTCTTGGCGAGGATGAGGCCACTAGTGGGAAGCGGAGGGGGTGGTTCAGTGCACGGGCGGACTGGGAGGGGGAAGTCACGTCAGGGGAGATAGAGGAGGAGGAGGATGGGGAGGAGGAGGTGGGGAAGAGGTGAGGGAGAGGGGATAGAGGCTCGTTACAGCAAGGAAGTGGGGTTGAAACTGGGAGGGGGGAATCTGGGAGCTTGTTGGAATGGAACGTGGTGCAGGATTTGGTTGCAAGGAAGACGGAGCAGCAGAGAGTGGGGCCCGCTCTGACCTCTTTTGTTGGGTGTAAGGTTAGCTCTCAGAAGAGGGTAGAAACTAGAGAATTAATGGGGGGGGGGTTGGGGGAAGGGGGGGAGAAGGTGTGCTAGATTGGGGATTTGGGAGAATGGGTAGGACAGGCAAGGTGGGATTGGGGTAGCTGCAATGGGTTGTTGGGTGCTACCTGTATTGTATGGCTCTAATCTATCTACCGGTACAGTATGTGGTACTGTTAAGTAGTTGGTACTCGTTACTAGCTGACAGCTGGCCTCATATGCAGAGAGTTATAGAACTCGGCCAATCAGAACGCTGCAAGCTTATTACCAGGCATCCACAGATTCTTTCACCGCGAGACTTTTACGGTACCGGTACTAGTGAAAAAAACTTGCTCAGGAAGGTGAGCAACGGCAGCAGAGGCCAGAACACCCACTTGGACGCCTTGATTGATTCAGATACGGCAGGCTGATCCTCTGTGCAGCGCCTCAAACTTCAATGCATCTCAACTCAAGGCAGCTCTCGTGCCACTTGAATCCATTGCTTCGACTCAAATACTCAAATGCCAGGCGAGACAGCACGGGCAGGCGGATCTTTCCGCTCCTCCCGCAGTACCGGAGCAAGGGCGCGGGAGAGGAGGCCAAGCAGGGGGTTGCTGCTGCTGCTGCTGTTGTTGCTGTTTGGGACGCCACCACGGCTGCGCGGCTTCATGCCAAGGGCACCGGTGCTGGTGCCGATTCCGTTGCGCGTGCGCTCCACTGCGTCTAGGAGATGGTCCAGGCTGACCCGTGCTTCGCCTGAGAGAGCATAGCATGCACGAGAGACAGAGAGACATGGGAGGGCAAGGGGCAAGTGGAAGCAGAGGAGCAAAGCAGGGTGAGTGGGAAGAAACAGGGGGATTGACACACGGAACAAGGGCGGACAGGGATATCATAAGACAGGTGCGGTGGATGATTGTTCTCACGTGAGCACATAATTAGCTTCTCCTCTACTTACCATTCCTGGCAGCGAGCCACGCCGCCTCATTGACCACATTCTCCAGGTCAGCGCCTGAGAAGCCCTCCGTGTATCGCGCCACCACTGTCCTCATCCCCTCATCCTCCTCCTCTGCCCCCCCCAGCACGTCCCACACACCTAGTAATCTTCCTCCCCCTCCCCCTCCCCCTCCCCTCATCACCTCCCCCCTGCTCTCCCCATCCGCCCTTCCGCCTTCCTCCTCCACCCCCCCTCTCCTCCTCCCCTTCATCCTCTCCTGCATGCGTCGCATGTGCACTCTCAGAATATCCCTCCTCCCCTCCACATCCGGCAGCGGCACCATCACCCGCCTCGATATCCGCCCGGACCGAGTCAACGCCGGGTCGAGGGTATCCAGCCGGTTGGTAGCAGCCAGCAGAAGCACGCCGTCGTCCGGCGTGTCGAACCCATCCAGCTCCGTCAGTAGCTGATTCAGCGTCTGGTCGCGCTCGTCGTTGCTGCTCGCGCCTCTCCTCGCCCCCACCGCGTCAATCTCATCTATAAACACGATCGCCGGCGCGGCTTTCCGCGCTTCCCGGAAGAGCTCGCGCACGCGGGCTGCTCCCCGCCCCACAAACATCTCCACGAATTCACTCGCGGACGCGGCAAAGAACGGCACGTCGGCTTCGGCGGCCACCACGCGCGCCAGGAGGGTTTTCCCCGTGCCAGGGGGCCCAATGAGGAGGACTCCCTTGGGGATGTGAGCGCCCATGGCGGCAAAAGCGCCCGCTCCTTTCATCCCTTGGACGAGCTCCATAAGCTCTCGCTTCGCCTCATCCACCCCTGCCACATCCTCAAACGCTACTTGCCGCGCCGACCCCCTCCCTCCAGTGCCCGCTCCCCTCTTCCCCTTCCCCCCGCCCTTCCCCTGCCCGCGGCGCCACCCGCCGTCCTTCCCCCCTTGAAGTTGCTTCATCATAAGGTAGATCAAGGGCGCCACGGGGATCCAGACCGTGAGCGCCGTGAGGAAGACAGTGCGGAGGGTTTGAGACGCGGGGACGGGGACGGAGGCGACGCGCACGCTGTGGTTGATGAGGAGCGGGAGGAGGAAGGACTCGTCGTTGTGCACGCGGCGAGACACGTACGCGAAGGGCGGGTCGGCGGGGAGGCGCACGAGGGACGACCAGGGCGGGCCGAGCGAGATGAGGAAGGAGCGCCAGGAGGAATGGGCGGGGAGGGGAGGGATGGGGGAGACTGAGACGGGGGAGGAAGAGGAGGAGGCAAGAGCAGCGGTTTGGGGAGTGGTGGCTGCTGCAAGAGTGTCTGTGTTTGTAATAGCAGCGCCACTGCTCACATCCGCTTCTGCTTCTGCTGCTGCTGGTGCAGCCGTCACTGCCAGTGGTGTTTCTGCTGCTGTTTCTGCTTCTAACGTGTCAGCTTGCTGGTCCGATACCTCAGCAGACGTGGTGATAGCACAAGACACTGACGCATCACCGACAGCAGCAGCACTTGGAGCAGCAGCAACACCAGCAGCAGCGGCGGCAGCAGCAGCAGAACCCACGTCAGCACCAGCAGCGCCCTTACTGTACACGTTGAACCAGATGCGATTCGAGCTCTCCTCTAGCGCCGCGTTCTTAACTCGCCCGGCCTTCACCGCTGCCACCATGTCAGAGTAAGCCACGGGCCTAGCCGCCCTCACCCCTGGATGCCTCATCTGCCACGTGGCACCCAGCACCAGCGCCAGCGCGATCAGTGGCCAGCGCAGCCAATAGGAGACCAGCAGCAGCGCGCGCAGCGCCTGGCGCAAGGTAAGCGCGCGGAGGGCGCGGCGGGCGAGGCGGAAGCGCAGGCGGAGGAGGCGGAGGGGGAAGAGGAAGGGGCGGCGGTGGAGGGGGAGGGCGCGCGATGAGGTGGGGGGTGAGAGGGGGGAGCCAGGGGATTTGCGAACTCTTGAAGATGGCGCGGATGGCGTGTGAAGGGTACGAGCTAGCTGCTGCGAATCACTGGCGGCAGAGGCTGCGGCTGCGGCGGCGAATGAGGTAGGATCGTTCAGATCTCTGCGTCCCCCGCCTCGTCTACCCCCCGTTACAGTCAAAGCGCCAGAACCTGCAGCCCCTGCCGCTGCTGCTGCCGCTGCTGCGTCGGCTCGCGCGATCGCCCTATCCGCCAGAGCCACCTCTTGCGCCGACCCCGTCCCCAGTAACGTGTCAGCTTCTAACGAGACAGAGCCTGCGGAGCCCGCCGGGACTGCGGAGGAAGCGGAGGCGGAGGACGACGAGGCGGAGCGGGCGGGGGAAGCGGACGCGGAGAGCCGTCCGGGGGATGAAGAGGGGGGAAAGGCGGAGGCACGGAACGTTGCGCGCCGAGAGGAATGGTCCGGTGGAGAGGAGTAGGAGGAGGAGGAGGAGGAGGGGAAGGAGGAGGATGGCGAGGGCGAGTGGAGCGACAGAGAGTGAAAAGATGGATTATTCGAGTTATCAACGGATCGCAGCCAGAAGGACGAATGCTGCCTCCACGGCCCCTGCACCCGCCGCTTCGCTGTGTTTCTCCGCGCATCCTCGTTATTGTCTCCCCCCGCTACGGCATAAGGCCTCAAGGCCTCACTGGATCTCCCGCCGTCACCTGCGCCGGAATATGCGGCACGAGCGCCTGCAGCCGCGGGTAGCCCTCCCGTCGGGCTGCGCGCCGCGAAGCAGGATCTGCGGAGAGCGCGCGGCGATTGAGCGTCAAGTTCAGCGTCACGAAGGCCTTCCGCCCTCGTACTTCGGAGAATTCTAAAAAACGACTGCTTTTGAGTCGAGTCAAAAGCAGACTCATCGCATGACACGCGCCAGATCCGCAACGGCGATCGACCGTGCCGCGACGAAGCGAGCCGAGCCTGGTGCGGCGGCAAGAACCTTCCGGATGCTGACGTGGCGAGCCCGACCCGATGGGCGTCCCACGTGGCCAGCCTCCCGCGGGTGCGCGAGAGCAGGTCAGCCTGCGTTGCTGCCGCTACGGCCATCGGTGCTGCTGCTGCTGCTGCTGCTGCTGCAAGGGCGAATGCACCTGCTGGGAATAACCGTTGCGGCAGCAGCTCGTAATGACGCGTGAGACACGGCAGGAGCACAGGCTCCGACGCTTTAAGAGGTAAAAACGCGCATCTATGGCCTGCGTTCCCCGCAACGACAGAGCTGTTCTCCCGCGTAGTGCTCGGAGAGACCTTCTCAAGCGTGCAAGCAGGGAAGAGCAGGGAGAGGGGCAGAAGCCTCTCAGCGCCAACCTCGATTACCTCGGATGGCGAGAAGATAAGGTAAGTGGCGCATGCTGGACAAGTGTTGAACGCGATACAGTGGAGAAATCGCAACAAGACAGTACGATAAGCCCACAAAGGTGCTCAAAAGGCTATAAGTGCACCGACAGAATCTGTCAAAAGTGGTTGATTGATGTAGGTTACAATACAGCATATTGTGAAGCAGTCGAAAATGGGCTATCCACCAGAGTCTTGAGCTTTTTGACATTGCTCAATCATCTCTATCCTACGTCATCATTGAACCATACACACACACAAATACCATCTATCATAGTGTCAGAAACCCAGTCACTAACCACTGGGTTAAAAGGGCTTGTTGAATAGCGGGTAAGTGCGCCCATAGCCCCCCAGGCTCTGCACCTGTGGCCCTTCCCCGAGGATCTCAAGGGCAACCCCAGCGGGTCACTCAACCCCCCCCCCCCGCTGGGATAGGTGGAAGACACGAGCGCCTCTGCAGCGCTGGCACTGGGAGTTGAACCCAAGACCTTTGGCTTTGATACCATGTCAGAAACCCAGTCACTAACCACTGGGTTAAAAGGGCTTGTTGAATAGCGGGTAAGTGCGCCCATAGCTCCCCAGGCTCTGCACCTGTGGCCCTTCCCCGAGGATCTCAAGGGCAACCCCAGCGGGTCACTCAACACATAGCTCCCTCAGATTCAAGAGAACATCTGCCTGGTCTGGTTTATTCTCTGATTGATCAAACACCAAAATCCAAGGATCCAATCCTGGAAGCGGTTGGACAATGTTGTGCACGACTTAGCAAACTGCCCGTCACAAAGAGAACTACCAAGCCATGGGTGTGAGTCATTGCCTGGCGGAGTCTGGCTGCATGGTTGGTGGGGTGGGGCTGCATGGTCAGTGGGGTGTGGCTGCATGGTCAGTGGGATGTGGCTGCATGGTCAGTGGGGTCTGGCTGCATGGTCAGTGGGGTGTGGCTGCAAGGTCGGTGGGGTGTGGCTGCATGGGGTCAGTGGGGTGTGGCTGCATGGTCAATGGGGTGTGGCTGCATGGTCAGTGGGGTGTGGCTGCATGGTCAGTGGGGTGTGGCTGCATGGTCAGTGGGGTGTGGCTGCATGGTCAGTGGGGTGTGGCTGCATGGTCAATGGGGTGTGGCTGCATGGTCAGTGGGGTGTGGCTGCATGGTCAATGGGGTGTGGCTGCATGGTCAGTGGGGTGTGGCTGCATGGTCAGTGGGGTGTGGCTGCATGGTCAGTGGGGTGTGGCTGCATGGTCAGTGGGGTGTGGCTGCATGGTCAATGGGGTGTGGCTGCATGGTCAATGGGGTGTGTCCTCCCCTGCCCCTCATTTCCCGTCCCTCGGGCGGCATGCCAAGGGTGGCATCCTGTCCCATCTCGTCCCTCAGACAGAATCTTGTCCCTCAGGCGGCATCTCGTCCCTCGGGTGGCATCCCTTGGGCAGCATCCCTTGGGCAGCATGCCTCGGGCGGCATCCCTCGGGCGGCATCCCTTGGGCAGCATTTATTGGGCATCCCTTGGGCCGCATGCCTCGGGCGGCTTCACTCGGGCGGCATCTCTCGGGCGGCATCCCTCGGGCAGCATCTCGTCCCTCGGGCGGCATCCCTTAGGCAGCATTCCTTGGGCAGCATGCCTCGGGCGGCATCCCTCAGGCGGCATCTCGTCCCTCGGGCGGCATCCCTTGGGCAGCATGCCTCGGGCGGCATCCCTCAGGCGGCATCCCTTGGGCAGCATTTATTGGGCGGCATCCCTTGGGCCGCTTGCCTCGGGCGGCATCCCTCAGGCAGCATTCATCCCTTGGGCAGCATGCCTCGGGCGGCATCCCTTGGGCAGCATGCCTCGGGCGGCATCCCTCAGGCAGCATCCCTCGGACAGCAAGCCTTGGGCAGCATCCCTAGGAGGACACCATCCGTCGGGCGGCATCCGTCGGGCGGCATCCGTCGGGCGGCATCCGTCGGGCGGCATCCCTCGGGTGACAGAAGGGGGAGGTGTAACCTTCAAGGTTGCATGAGGGCAAGACACAGGAGGGGGGCCGGAACCCCAAAGGTAAGGCGATTGAGAGGTAAGAGAGGGGGGCTGAAACCCCCAGGTTAAGGCAAGCAAACGGCAGAGGAGGGGGGACCCTCTGCCCCTTGCTCGCCCAAACCTGGGAGTTTGAACCCCCCTACCCCCCCTGCCCCTCGCTCACCGTACCCTGGGGTTCAAACCCGCCTCCCCTTCCTTGTTCCCACCCTACCATGGATATTATACTACCCCTCCTTTGCCCCTCCTCAGCTTACTCGTGGGGTTTCGAGCCCCTCTTCTCTTATCCCTCTCACCCAACTCACTTTGGGAGTTTCAGCTCCCCTTTGCCCCTCTCACAACTTACCCAAGGGGTTCCAGCCCCTTGCCATAGCCCTTACCTCATTCAACTTACCAAAAGGGTGGATTCAGCATCCCTCCATTGCCCCTCACTCAAATTACCCCAGGGGATTTCAGACTCCCCTTCTCGTCTCCCCCTCACTTAACTTTCATTGGAGTTTGCAGGCGCACTCCTTTGCCCCTCACTCAACTTACCCCGGGGGGTTTCAGGCCCCCCTTCTCCTCTCCTATTGGAAATTGCAGGCGCCCTTCGTTTTCCCCTCACACAACTTACCCAAGGGATTTCCTCCCCCCCCCCCCCCCCTCTTCCTTTCCTCACGGCGTGATGCTGCTGAGGGGGAGGGGAAAGGGAGAGGAGAGGAGGTGAGAGGGGGGGTGGGGTCCATGCTGCTGCCCTTGCTCCGAGGAAGGGGAGGTGAGGTTGGGAGCTACACCTTCCGCGAGGTATGATGCTGCTGGGGGAAAGGAAGGAAGGAGGGGGGGATGAGAGGAGGTGAAAGAGGGTGGGCTCCATCCTCCTGCCCTTGCTCCATTGCTCCCTGTCCTTGCTCCAAGCCTCCAGGCATGGATGCTGTAGGAAGGAAGCGGGGGGTTGAGGCAACCATATCTGATACCTCACCTGGTACCGTACCTCGCTCACCCCTAGTCCTAGCCTGCCCGCCTACCACCCAACCCCCACTTCTGCTGCTGCTGCTGCTGCTGCTGTCTGCTGCTCTGCTTCCTCTGCTGCAGTCTTCAAATGATGCCAGGTGATCTGGTGGGGGCAGAAGGCGAGGCAGACAGAAATTAAGTTGATACCGGACTTAGCATTGGGAGAAAAAAAAAACCAAACTGGAAGGACAGTGAACGGACATCATCTGCAGCAGTAGGAGGGGTTGGTGAATAGGGGCTTACTTTGAGAGGCCAACCCCACCCCAGATACTCTCCCTCATGGCAGCATTCCTCCCAGCTTCCCGTGTGCATGCCCCTGCACGGCCACAGGGGAGGGGTGCAGGGAAGTGGCGGTGTTGACCCCCACACCCCTCCCCTCAACCTGCAAGGGTAAAACTGTAGAGCAGTGAGAAAGCGGCTAGAGGTAGAAGGGTGAGAGGCGTGCATGGGTGGGGTGGCGGGTGATAGCGGCAGAGGGGCCACTGGAGCAGCACTAAGCACATGGTGCAGACCCCAGGGGTAACACATATTGGGGGGGTAAAGGGGGGGGGGGGATTGTACTTAGTAAGTCTTTAGGCTTAACCTTGGGGTAGGGGGAAGGAGGGGGGGATACCCAGAATAAGGGAAGGGGATGGGAGGGGGGGGGATACCAGAATAAGGGAAGGGGATGGGGGGGGGGGGATACCAGAATAAGGGAAGGGGAGGGGGGGGGCTGGGGGGGGGAGAGGGGGGTTGTGCCCAACATGGGTTGGGCTGCTGCAAGCGGTTTGATTTGAGCACGGCATGGTAGCAAAACCGGAATGTGTGAGGGCATGTCAGAGTGATGCACAAAGTCAAGGAAAGCGATTGAAAGCAGTCAAAAGGCAACAGAGAGGGTGTGAGTGCACTTATCTGCTGTGGATGCTTGTTGGCTCCCAGCTGGCACCGCCTGTCCTCTCTGCTTCCCACCACTCAAGCGCTTCACAGCACCCAGTTCGCGCCCCTCCCCTCCCCCTGCAGTCACAGCAGCACTGCACACGAGTTTGCAGATCCGCCAGCAGAGGCCCTGCTGGGGAATGGGGAGGGAGAGAGGGGGGCAGGGGAATAGGGGAGGGGAGGTCAGGGGAGGGGAGAGAACCACACGCCACAGACCCCAAGGGAACCTGAGGGCACTGTAGATAAGGGAAGCTGAACCTGAGGTGGTTACCAGGGGGGGCCTGAACCTGGGGGGTTAACTGCAATAGGGGGGTGTCTGTGGCTTGTGAGCCGGGCCCCAACCAGGGGCGCAATTCAATGGAGAAGGAAAGGAAGGACATGAGACAAAGAATAGAACAGTAAAAACAATGCAGAGAAGAGCAATCAGCAGGCTCATTCCAGGGAGGAAGGGTCACTTAGCTGGCAGTTGAAACACCGATGAGGGTGGCCGTCTGCTATCCCCTCCCCTCCCCTCCCCTCTTCTCCGCTCCTCCCTGCTCAAGAGCAATCAGCGGACTCGTGCCTCTGCGCGACGACACCCCACGGCTCGCTGCCCCTCGGCAGACTCCCCTCCAACGTACCAGCTTGAGTTCGCTCTCCACTCTCGTGACGGCAGCTCGCCATGGCGGTTCTCACTCGACCACGTTTCGCAACAGCAGTTCGCGACGGGTTTGAGAGGGCAGTCCGCGACGACTGTTCGCGACGGCAGTCCCTCTAGGCGACTATCGCCTCCGGCGCAGCGAAAAAGTATTTAGAAATACTCTTGCAAATAGCCTCAAGGGCCTTGCCTCCAAAAGTGATCTCAAAGTAGCTGCTAATCGTCAATACGAAATGACAACAATTTCCACTAGAAACAATGAGATACAAAGCACAAATGTTCTAACAGATTTATAGTGGAAGTACAAGCAATTTCGCGCTTCGTAACTGCCGTGTGCGCTGCGAGTAACTCGCGCGCCTCGTGTCAAGCCGAGTCGCACACGCAACCGCAACTTTCTTGCTGAACACGCCGCTGGTCCGAACTCTGAATACTTGCCGAACAAGCCCCGTCCGAAACCTAACTTTTGCCCCACGTCAATCTGTTTCTCGCCACTTCCACTCCTTTCTTCCACTCAATCACTCTTTC